TACTCATCTCATTCAAAGCAAAGGTGATTTTTTTCCCTAGAGAACATACAGCTCTATTTTCAGTGTGTTTGTCAGGACTGGAGAGGTTTGCAGCCCACTGTAAAACAAACTATCTGCATTTTTGTCGCTGTGGTTATGTCACCATCGATGAAGTTAATGGCTTAGTGGGAGAATTAATCATTTGTCAGTCTGTGAATCTTCCTAATGAAAGCCAGTTCAGAGAGAGCCCCGTTTTTCCCTGTACGGTTCTTTTCCTTGCCCATGAGCACTTCTAATTCTATTTGGGACACCAGAAGAATGTTAATAACTTTCTGTAAGTAAGTCTGACAGTGGTGTTGTCACATTAATTCATGTGTGTGCTGCACTTGGGACTTGCGTTAGAGGGAGAGTGCTGTCATCTCCAGGCAGAACCATTCTGTTTCTCCAATGAAATGAATTTCTTCCTGGGATTGATCAGGCCACTCGTCAGGTCCCACTGGTTTTGGTGGGACCACGTTCCTTCAGAGTCCCTCTGACCCTGTGGAAGGGATGTGCTCACCCAGGTGCCCGAGCACTGTGGCAGTGTTTTTGTTCCCTGTTAATCCCATTCTCCCCGGGCAGCTCCCTGCTCTGCTGCACCAGTGTGTGCCTGGAACAGCCACAGGGGTGTGTGTCTGCAGCCCTGCCATTCCAGAAAAGTGAGGGAGGAGTCTGTCCGTGCTCTGAGACCTGAGGTGGTGTTTCAGCACAGAGCAGCACCTCTTTACTCTGCTAATGGTGCAAAGGCTGGGTAAGGATCCATCAGCACAGAGCCCAGTAATCCATGAGCAGCTATTGAGGGATGAGCCTGCACAGTGATAATCATCTGCAGCCCAGGGCATAATTAGCAGGAATCCTAGACCAGAAAGATTTCATGGCCTAATTTATCTGTCTTTGATTGATGACCAGACGAGATTAACTATTTCCCCTGACAGAATCCATCAGGGCCTCCCATTTGTCTCCTTTAACCTAAGGAAGACACTGCAGAGGCAGTTGCTTTCCCTCTGGGTGTTTGGAGGGGCTGAATTCCCCGCAGGCAGAGTCAGAGGTGACAGTCCCACAGCATGGTGCAAGGATGGGAGCTTGTCCCAGGGCTGGCATGGTGCTCTGGTGCTCCAGAGAGGCTCCCTGGGCTCCTGCAGGGCTGTGCTGATTATTCAGGCTGCTCACATGAACCCAGTGCAGCCTCACTGGGAGCACTGGGCAGTTCAGTGGCACCAGGGCTGTCTGCTTTGATTTGAATTTGTGCTGTGGGGTGGCTGCTGTGCTTTGGGTTGGGTGCAGGTCAGAAATATCCCACAGGGCCACTTCTAGGTACTCCTATGTTCTTAAAAAGCATAGGAGTACCTTTGGAGGGACTGGAAGTGTCTGCAGAGGTGCACGAGAGGAATTTTGCTGCCCAGCTGTGCTCATCTCTGGTGTTGTCTTCACACCCTTGTGGCACCTGCATTAGTTTAAGCACCTGAGCAGATGGGATTCCATTTGTTCACCTCCTGCTAAGGAGCTCAAATGCAAGAACCCATGGATTGCATTAATAAAAACGCTGGAGCTCTGCGTCTGTTTGGAGTGGTTTAATTGTTTTGTGTAAACAACCAAAAATCCAAAAGACCCCTAACGAAGCCCCAAACCAAATCAGACCTCCCCAAAAACACAAAAAGGAAAAGAGGCTCAGCTTGCAGCAGAAGCACCCAGCTGAGCCTGCAGCCCTGCTGCAGTGCAGTGCCCCGTGGGCTGCATTAGTGTGGGATGTCACATCCTTGGATGTGTCCAAGCTTGGAGGGGGCTTGGAGCACCCTGGGATAGTGGAAGGTGCTCCTGCCCATGCAGGGGCTGGAACAAGGGCAGTTTTCAGGTCCCTTCCAACCCAAGGTTCTGTGATCAGGCAAAGGAAGGTGAAATTTTGGGTGTTGAGGAGTGAGATGAAGGTGTTGGTGCCACAAGGCCCAGCCAAATGCAGTTCTGGGCAGCAAAGTTTGAGCTCAGGAGCAGAGAGAAGGGTACAGAGTGGAGATGAGATGAGATGAGTCAGGTTTGTTTAGTTTGGAAAAGCAAAGATTGAGAGGGGATGTGACTGCTGGCTCTGAGTGCATTGCAAAGGGAAAGCTCAGAGAGGAAAAGGCTTATTTGAGCTGATGGGGGGAAGCTGGCACAAGAGCAAAATGAAAGTAGTCCACAAGTATATGGAACAAGCCCAGGAAAAACTAAGGTATTTCGAGTGGGAGATTGACAGGTTTTGGAAAAATTGTCACAGCATTGTATTTGTGCTCTTGCTCTGAAGTTGTAAATGTGATTAGCAGGCAATGTTTGGGAAATAAGGCTGGAAAACTGTCTATCTGTGGTCTCAGTTCAACCCCTGTGTGCAGTGAACTTCAGGGTCAGACAGCAGTGTTCCCATTCCATTCAGGAGATGCTGCTGGACATGGATCAGGCTGGGTTTTAGTGGTGCTTTGCAGCTTGTTAGACAAGAAGGATTGATACACAACTGTGGGGCTTTCCACGGGGCTGTCTTTAAATAATGACTGAGATTCATGTGTGTAATGAAGTGTTTGCATCCACATTGCCTAAGGCTCTCTCATCAGTTTATAATTTTATTAGGAAAAGCTGCTAATGGCTGCATTTGCAGGATATTAAAATTCTTATCTGTTTATGTCTGAAATTTTTGGTTACAGAAGTGGAGGTTGCTGCTGTGCCTTGTGCTCTGGGGAGTCTTATCTGCCCAGAAGCAAAAATGTCAGTTTTCTTCAGCAGCAGCAGCAGCAGCGAGACACAGCAGTGTGTGTGCACACAGAGAATAACAGACCAGAGACAGGGGCTGGGGGTGAGCTGTTTTAGCAGCTTCTGCAGAACAGAGGAGACAAGCAATTAGAATGTTTGGAATAGCCTTGAGGATTTGATGAACCCACTTTCATTTCCTTCTTCTTGCAAGCAGTTCCAAAATACAAAGTACAGCATCCCTCTAGGCTTGGAAGAAGAGATTTTTCTTTTATTTTTACAGGGGTTTTAAGCTGTAAATGTGCATCATGTTTTGTTTGTTTGCTGGCAGTAACAATGCAGGAAAGGCTGTGCTGTCAGAGCAAGCATCCATTTAACTTTGCTGCTAGATGGTTGGGGCTAGAAGTATAAAGGGAAAAAAACCCCAAAGTGTACAGAGCAGCCCTTCCTGTGGCTCCCAGTGCCTCCCAGCCAAAACTGCATCTAGATAATTGCAGTTTTTATCATTGCATCTGATAGTCTTGTTTTTTTAATAAGATTTTTGGAATCAATTTATGCTTGTGACCACCTGTGGGAGTTGACCCCAAAGCTTTGGTGGTTGGTGTGGACCCTGTGGATGGAGGGAAGCAGGCTGGCAGGGATGGAGCAGGTTGTGTTGCCCTGCTGCTCCAGCCTGGGAAGGGAATTGCCTGGAAGGTGTGAGTGCTCTGAGCCTGACAGGGGACACAGGTCCTTAAGTCATGTTGGGTTCTTGCTGGTGACTTTGGCTGCCCAACATCCTGACGAGGAAACCACGGGGAGCCTCTCATTGCTGCAGTGGCCTTAGACTTCTGCGCCCAATGAGAACAGAAAGTGCCTCCTGATGTCCTTTTTTATGCACTCAAATGGTGTGTTTTGGTTATTGGAGCACAAGGGGTTTGGGGGAGCAGTCCTGGAGCTTTGCCAGGCTGCACAAATCCTGCAGGCCTGATGTTTGCTGATGGGCAGTGCTCTGTAATTAGCTCTGCTGGAGCCTCATGCCAGGCTGGGGGCACAGATGCCAGCTGTGGGCTGCAGGATTCAGCCTTTTATCTTCAGAGTTGCTTCAGGTGGGGTTTTGTGATGATGCTGGGAAAGCAGAACGAGTTAGTGCAGGAATTTGTGTTCTGATTTATGTGAAATGTCCACAATCCATTCCTTGAGACGAACAGATGTAAATGGAAATGTG